GCTACTTTTGCTTTCTTGCAATGCAATAATTCAACTACTAGAAACTGTGCGTACAGATGGTCTACAGCAGGGCTCTCCAACCCTGTTCCTGGAGAGCTACCGGCCTGTACGTTTTCACTCCAAACCTAATCTAGCGCAACTGATTCTAATAATTAGCTAGTTGATAAACTGAATCAGGTTACAACTGGGGTTGGAGTAAAACCCTACAGGAGGGTAGCTCTCCAGGAACAGGGTTGGAGAGCCCTGGTCTACAGTTTGCGGGAGGATAAGCACATTCTCATGTCAAGTTACGTTTTTATAAATTACAACTTTTGCGTGAAAACTGGCGCACAAATATTTTGGGGCATATTTTGTGCGTACACAACATTAATAATTGAGGCCCCAGCTCAGCGCTCATCCATCCATCCTAACTAAGCTTTATGGGGAAATGCAGAGACTAACTTGGAGAGAAAACATGCAGTACTTCCATCATTGAGTTAGGAGAAGAGGAACTTGTTTTTGGAGGGTTGCCATCTTATCTTGGCTAGACACTTATCCGAGAGAGTTAGGGAGACTTGATAGGTTGGACCATTTAGTTATTTTTCAAGAGGATTGCTTCATTTAGCATCTTTTACAGCAATCTCCACCCACAGAAAGCTACTTCCACTACCTAGTAACTGTTACAAGGGCTATGAAACACTGACAAACCAGCATAAGGAGCAACCTTATCAAAGAATATAGTGTCTTCAGAAAGTATTCACACCCCTAGACTTTTTCCACATTTTGTTGTGTTACAGCCTGAATTTAAATCAAATTGATGAAATTGAGATACCCTTTGAGCATGGTGAAGTTTTTAATTACACTTTGGATGGTGTATCAATACACCCAGTCACTACAAATATACAGGTGTCCTTAACTAAGTTGCCGGAGAGGAAGGAAACCTCTCAGGGATTTCACCATGACGCCAATAGTGACTTTAAAACAGTTACAGAGTTTAATGGCTGTGATAGGAGAAAACGGAGGATGGATCAACAACATTGTAGTTACTCCACAATACTAACCTAAATGACAGAGAAAAAAGAAGGAAGCCTGTACAGAATACAAATATTCCAAAACATGCATCCTGTTTGCAATAAGGCACTAAAGTACAACTGCAAAAGATGTGACAAAGAAATTAACTTTAAGTCCTGAATACAAAGCGTTATGTTTGGGAAAAATCCAACAACACGTCACTGAGTACTACTCTTCATATTTTTAAGCATGGTGGTGGCTGCATCATGTTATGGGTATGCTTGTCATCGGCAAGGACTGGGGACTAAGCACAGGCAAAATCCTAAAGGAAAACCTGGTTCAGTCTGCTTTCCAACAGACACTGGGAGACAAATTCACCTTTCAGCAGGACAATAATCTAAACCACAACGCAAAACCTACACTGTAGTTGCTTAACAAGAAGACAGTGAATGCTCCTGAGTGGCCTAGTTACAGTTTTGACTTAAATAGGCTTGAAAATCCATGGCAACACTCAAAAATGGCTGTCTAGCTATGATCAAATCAAATCTTATTGGTCGCACACACATATTTATCAGACGTTATTGCGGGTGTAGCGAAATGCTTGTGTTCCTAGCTCCAACAGTGAAGTAATATATAACAATTCACACAATTCTAAAAGTAAAATAATGGAATTAAGAAATATATAAATATTAGGACGAGCAATGTCAGAGTCCGGAGTATGTGTGTGTGTCATATATACAGTGGGGAAAAAAGGTATTTAGTCAGCCACCAATTGTGCAAGTTCTCCCACTTAAAAAGATGAGAGAGGCCTGTAATTTTCATCATAGGTACACGTCAACTATGACAGACAAATTGAGATTTTTTTTCTCCAGAAAATCACATTGTAGGATTTTATGAATTTATTTGCAAATTATGGTGGAAAATAAGTATTTGGTCACCTACAAACAAGCAAGATTTCTGGCTCTCACAGACCTGTAACTTCTTCTTTAAGAGGCTCCTCTGTCCTCCACTCGTTACCTGTATTAATGGCACCTGTTTGAACTTGTTATCAGTATAAAAGACACCTGTCCACAACCTCAAACAGTCACACTCCAAACTCCACTATGGCCAAGACCAAAGAGCTGTCAAAGGACACCAGAAACAAAATGGTAGACCTGCACCAGGCTGGGAAGACTGAATCTGCAATAGGTAAGCAGCTTGGTTTGAAGAAATCAACTGTGGGAGCAATTATTAGGAAATGGAAGACATACAAGACCACTGATAATCTCCCTCGATCTGGGGCTCCACGCAAGATCTCACCCCGTGGGGTCAAAATGATCACAAGAACAGTGAGCAAAAATCCCAGAACCACGCAGGGGGACCTAGTGAATGACCTGCAGAGCTGGGACCAAAGTAACAAAGCCTACCATCAGTAACACACTATGCCGCCAGGGACTCAAATCCTGCAGTGCCAGACGTGTCCCCCTGCTTAAGCCAGTACATGTCCAGGCCCATCTGAAGTTTGCTAGAGTGCATTTGGATGATCCAGAAGAGGATTGGGAGAATGTCATATGGTCAGATGAAAGCAAAATAGAACTTTTTGGTAAAAACTCAACTCGTCGTGTTTGGAGGACAAAGAATGCTGAGTTGCATCCAAAGAACACCATACCTACTGTGAAGCATGGGGGTGGAAACATCATGCTTTGGGGCTGCTTTTCTGCAAAGGGACCAGGACGACTGATCCGTGTAAAGGAAAGAATGAATGGGGCCATGTATCGTGAGATTTTGAGTGAAAACCTCCTTCCATCAGCAAGGGCATTGAAGATTAAATGTGGCTGGGTCTTTCAGCATGACAATGATCCCAAACACACCGCCCGGGCAACGAAGGAGTGGCTTCGTAAGAAGCATTTCAAGGTCCTGGAGTGGCCTAGCCAGTCTCCAGATCTCAACCCCATAGAAAATCTTTGGAGGGAGTTGAAAGTCTGTGTTGCCCAGCGACAGCCCCAAAACATCACTGCTCTAGAGGAGATCTGCATGGAGGAATGGGCCAAAATACCAGCAACAGTGTGTGAAAACCTTGTGAAGACTTACAGAAAACGTTTGACCTGTGTCATTGCCAACAAAGGGTATATAAGAAAGTATTGAGAAACTTTTGTTATTGACCAAATACTTATTTTCCACCATAATTTGCAAATAAATTTATTAAAAATCCTACAATGTGATTTTCTGGAGAAAAAAATGCTCATTTTGTCTGTCATAGTTGACGTGTACCTATGATGAAAATTACAGGCCTCTCTCATCTTTTTAAGTGGGAGAACTTTCACAATTGGTGGCTGACTAAATACTTTTTTCCCCCACTGTATATGTGATGGGATGTATAGACATTACGGACAGTATGTGGACAAAATATTTAGTATATCTGTAGAATACGTAGGATAGAATAGCATTTATACAGCAATAGTCGAATAGGATGGCATTGACTAGAACATAGTATATACATATGAAATGGGTAAAACAGTATGTAAACATTAAAGTGACCAGTGTTCCATTATTAAAGTGACCAGTGATTCCATGTCTATGTACATAGGGCAGCAGCCTCTAAGGTGCAGGGTTGAGTAACCGGGTGGTAGCCGGCTAGTGACAGTGACTAAGTTCAGGACAGGGTACTGGGTGTGGGCCGGCTAGTGATGGCTATTTAACAGTCTGATGGCCTTGAGATAGAAGCTGTTTTTCAGTCTCAACTTTGATGCACCTGTACTGACCTCACCTTCTGGATGATAGCGGGGTGAACAGGCTGTGGCTCAGGTGGTTGATGTCCTTGATCTTTTTGGCCTTCCTGTGACATCGGGTGCTGTAGGTGTCCTGGTGGGCAGGCAGTGTGCACCCGGTGATGCATTGGGCAGACCGCACCACCCTCTGGAGAGCCCTGCAGTTGCGGGCGGTGATACAGCCCTACAGGATGCTCTCAATGTTGAATCTGTAAAAAAAAAAAAAAAAAGGGCAAATATTACACAATTCAGGTGTGCAAAGCTCGTAGAGACTTACCCAGGAAGACTCACAGCTGTAATCACTGCCAAAGGTGAGTCTAACATGTATTGACTCAGGGGGTTGAACACTTATGTAATCAAGATATATTAAGGTTTTATATCCATAAAATAAAATAAAAAAAATGTGTAATTGACAAAAAAATGACATTTAAAATCAAACATAGCACCAAATGTAGAAAAAGTCAATGGTTGTGAATACTTTCTGAAGGCACTGTATACTGTAGTTCAGAGCTGTTTGTGTGTATGCGTACACATACTGTATGCTATCTTCATCTGGTCAGATAATGTGTTGAAAGGAGCTAGTAATTGGTTGCTGGGCTCCATGCCAAGTTACCTCACTTCCAACACAAACACACAAAGTGCCCGCTTACATAATTTAATAGAACAGCTTTAAAAGGCTTCAACAGCTAAGCTCCAACCTCCCATTTCACTCACTGACTTAAATGTACCAGTATTACCATGCAGCAGTGTGCAAGCTATAAGCTACAGCCACATTAGGTAGGTCACAGGCACAAGTACAACAGAATCATGTGAAATTCACATTAGTTGTGTTTGCTTGTATCATATTGTATTGAACAAGCTAGGGCTCTGGTGGTTGGATCTCATATCAAAGATCAGCAGACTTGACACAAAGGGAATGTCTATTAATTTCCTTTTATTTCATATACATTTTTTAAATGTTTTGGCACACTCATGTCTGTCTATAACATACACATACATACACACACACCTCTTTTAAATGATTTACTCCAAAACAATGTCATGATAGTCTCTACTGTACATTGATAAAAGGCAATCTCTGTGCTTCAATTCACATTTGTCAGGTAAATCCACCCTTTGCTCCACTGCAAAAACCAGACCAAAGCAGGATCCAGTCCAGGGCAAAGTCAGGTCAGTTTGACATGTCATGATGTCACCTACACCGTGTCACAATCTTCCTCCACAACGGCACATCTGTATGTCCTTGGCGACCGCAAGCGGCTGTCACCGTTCGTGTTTCGACATACTTTCTCCTCTCTCTACCACGGCAACTCTGTTTCTCAGCTCCTTCGGCGCAACGTCCACGAAGAACTCTGCCATGACAGGACAATGGTCAGACGCCACCCCGCCCCACGACCAGTTGTCAGGTATCCAGGGGTTGGTCAGGCCCTCCCGCACCACCAGGCAGTGACCTGCAGGGGGAAGCACATACATGGAGATACATACACTTCAGAGAGGTTACACATTCAGATTAAATTCCTGGTAGTTTATTGCAGTGGGTATAACTACAATGGTATGAACGCCACATATTCTGACACACAGTTACATCCGTAGACATCAGACAGACACAAACAGACACAGACGTACCTGCATAAATCTTCTTCAGTGACTTGCTGACCCAGATGTTGTCCAGACAGAGGGAGCCCTGGGGGGAGCGGGTGCTGATGTTGGTGAACATGTTGGGGGGCACCAGGGGGCTCAGCCTCTCCTTCCTCAGCTGGTCCAACTCACTGCTCTGGGGGGGCAGGCCAAAGTCCCCTAACACCACCAGGCCCTTCTGTCCTGTCACACAGATAAACCACAGATGGACATTAGCCATGTAGCTACGTCAAAAAACCGAATACAATAAACCACGGAGGAAGAGAAAGAGGGTAAGAATAAAGGAAGAGACAGAGGACGTAAGTTTAGAAAAGACAGACTAGGGTGACCTTTGACCTTCAGCTACTGACCTTTCAGTGCGTCCTGGATACTAGAGGTATGTCTGTGGGCCTTGACTTCCTCAGAGTGGTGGTTCCTACCGTTGGACTCCTCAGCCCCAGACACAGCCGGAGCTCTCATGTGGACATTGACTATCGTCAGCTCAGACTTTCCAATCTAGTCACATATTAACCATTAACATAATGTTAGTCTCTCTAGCAGGACTTTATATGGTTATAATGGTATTGATAGGGGCAATAAAATGAGTAATGCGTTCTGTTACAGTCATTTTATGATAGTCATTTCAGTTTAGGGACACACACACTCCTTGTTGACTTACATAAAAGTGGGCAAGATAAGGCCGGGGTTGGGGGTGTTTCCCATTGCCGTTGACAACAGGACTCTCCACGACGGAAGCATCTTTCAGGTCGATCCCAGAAGAGCTGTCCCACAGGAACCCAGAATAACTGACTCCCTGAGGGAAGAGAGGACAACAGACAGACAGGAGTGAAAAAAGGAGACTTGTCAAATTTCCAGGACACCCTTGAACCAGTATTGGAGTCAACTCAGTTTTCAGTGAACTTCCCAAAGCCAGAGCTCAGTCTCTACTATATCACTAGGGAGGGGGATGTTTCCTGGTCAGCCCTCTCTAAATATAAAGAGCCTGGGGATGTCTGGCCTATATACTGCAGATGAAGGCATGGCTGTATCTTCAGTTCTCCTCTCTGTTAGTTAAATGAGCCCCCCCCACCCAGGGAAAGTTTAAGCCTCTCTGAGTTCTGGTGGGTCTGCCTCTGGGGCAGGAGGGGATCATTTGCTGGGGTAACGGTCAGCGTCACAGCTAGACCCAGAAGCAGATGGACTAGTTTGAGATAGATTAGATTAATAGACAGAGAGAGAGAGACAGAGAGAAAGACAGAGAGAAAGACAGAGACAGACAGAGACAGAGACAGAGAGAGAGACAGAGACAGAGACAGAGAGAGACAGAGAGAGACAGAGAGAGAGAGAGAGAGAGAGAGAGAGAGAGAGAGAGAGAGAGAGAGAGAGAGAGGAGGGGTGTGTCATAGATAAGACAGGCCAGAGAACATGGCCACTGCAGTGGAGCCTCAGACAGATATGATACCCACTGGCTACATCTTCCTGCTGCTTAGTCAATGGAGCTTTCTAAACCACGTGCAGAGAGCAGACACACAAACACACTTGCACTAAAAACTAATCAAATTGTACACACACACACACACACACACACACACACACACACATCCCTAACCACCACCAAAAGCCATTATAAAAACTAATCAAATCGTACACGGAGATCCTGTTCTACACTGAACAGGTCAGAGTAACAGCAGAAGAGTTATAGCTCCATTCCAGAGCATCTTCACAGCTCCTTGACAAACTGCAGAGCCTGACAGTGGCAGGACTAGGAGAGGGAGGCTGGGAGGGATGGGAGGCTGACAGTGGCAGGGCAGGACTAGGAGAGGGAGGCAGGAAGGGCTGGAAGGTTGACAGTGGGGGGCTGGAAGGTTGACAGTGGAAGGGCAGGACTAGGAGAGGGAGGCAGGGAGGGCTGGAAGGTTGACAGTGGCAGGACTAGGAGAGGGTGGCAGGGAGGGCTGGAAGGTTGACAGTGGCAGGAGAGGGAGAATGACAGTGGCAGGAGAGGGAGGCTGACAGTGGCAGGACTAGGAGAGGGTGGCAGGGAGGGATGGGAGGCTGACAGTACTAGAGGTCAGAGGGTTTGTTTATGACCCCCCTCCACATTATCTGTACTATCCATCTTACTTGACAGGAGCCATCGGCCACAGACACAGAATAAAGCTCAAGTTAACTTCAAGGGTCAATTTCAGGACTGGCTTCACACTGCTATATAGTCCTTGTGGTGTTTGGGAAGACAGAGTGTTGGACAGACATTATGGGAACAGAAAGGGCCTCTCTCTAAGGGTCCCCTAAAACAACCAGCTTTAATCATACTGTACTAGACCTTCTGACCTTTGACCACTACAGCAGACCTTAGATCATGGTATCTATTGAGCTACATCTGGTCACTGATAACAGCCCCTTAGTAAAGAGGTTATGTTTGAGTGTAAAGGGTTAGTACATTTTTCAGTAATAATTGCTGTTTACTTCTGGGCTGTGTGAAATATTGAGATGGGTGGTCTGTTTCAGATGGGATGTGAGATTGTGAGAGAGGGGGGCTGGGGGGGGGGGGGGGGGAGAAACAGAGCGGGAGAGAGATGGAAAAAGAGAGAGAGAAGCAAGAAAGACAGACAGACAGAAAGGGAAAGAGAATAAAATAGTTTTTAGTGCAGTGAGGTCATCAGTAACCTTACCTCGTTGGACAGTCCTGTGTGTTTCTCAGAGACGGTACTCTTCCAGACTCCCCGTGGTCCTCTCCACTTCCTCACGCTGTCCAACGAGCCCTGGTTCAGTTCCACACAGAACTGCAACACAATAGAGGAGGGGTACGTATTATTACACAACACTGGACTGGACAGTAGACCATAGAAATAGTGTAGTAGTCATTCAGTCATTCTATTTCTATGCAGTGGGCAATGCAATGGATGTAGGGGGCATATTAAACAGCACATAGCAGTATTACATCACATATCACAGCTACTGTCAACACACTATTTTTGTCTCTGCTACAATCGGTTTTTAAAATAGCCACAGCAGATATTTAACTACTTGAAATGAGCACCATTTTTAGTATGAAGTGAAAGTTACACTGAAATGACTCCTCAAATGATACCTTTTGAAATTACCTCAAATAATGTATTTCAGTGTGCAAAGACACCAGCAGTGTTGTAACGTGAGAGGTCACTGAACAAGTTGGCAGCGATGGACTGGGAGAATTGGGAGAGGAGAACTTGGTTTTGAGACAGTTTGCCTTGACTGACCTGCTACCAGGTCCCAGAGGGAGAGCTTCCCTATGGGGCACCAGGAGAGGCAGAGGATCCCCTCCCTGGGTCGTACCTAGCCCTCACCCCCACCCCACCCAGGGAGAGTGACATTAATTAACCTATAGCACAGCTGTCATATCATGCTGGTTATATCCACTCACTTCCCTGTCCTACTGTTCAGAGAGAAAGAGACAGCTCAGCAACTGTCAATGATCAGGTCAGTTCCCTGTCTCTCATACTGTTCCTACTGTTCCTATTCTCAGTCTGACTTTCTCCTATTAAGGGGTGTGTGTGTGTGTGTGTGCGTCCTCATACTGTCTGATAACACCGTCTCTCTGACTGTAGGGAAGGAAAGCCAACTTTACCAGTGACTATCATCAATAATTGCCCTATCATCCTCTTCTGCAGGCCCTATATTAATGTCAAGCACCAACTCAAGCTGACACAGTGCCAAGCAGCCTACAATAAATGAAACTAATAACATTTCAAAATGGCAGCTGGTAGAAAACAAACAGAATTTACTATCGTCATGACGCCTGTATCCGGCAGAAGCGAAGGGAGATATGAGGATGGATGGAAGGCAGCTCTTCCTAGGTACAACAAAACACACAGCCATAATTCAACCAGTGATGAACCAAGACGTGGGTATAGAGGAGGCCTTGGCACAGCTCCGGTGTGACCGGTGTGTGTGTACGTACAGTATGTATGTATAGTACCAGTCAAAAGTTTGGACACACCGACTCATTCAAGGGTTTTTCTTTATTTGTACTATTTTCTACATTGCAGAATAATAGTGAAGACATCAAAACTATGACATAACATTTGGAATCATGTAGTAACCAAAACAAGTGTTAAACAAATCAAAATATATTTTAGATGTTAGATTCTTCAAAGTAGCCTTGGTATTTTATTAGGATCCCCATTAGCTGTCGCAAAAGCAGCAGCTACTCTTCCTGGGGTCCACACAAAATATGAAAGATGACATAATACATTCATTTTTTACATTTTAGTCATTTAGCAGACGCTCTTATCCAGAGCAACTTACAGTTAGTGAGTGCATACATTTTCATACTGGCCCCCCGTGGGAAACAAACCCACAACCCTGGCGTTGCAAGCGCCATGCTCTAACCAACAGAGCTACAGGGGACAAGAACAGCTCAAGGACAGAACTACATACACTTTTTTTTAAAGGCACACGTAGCCTACATATCAGTACATACACAAACTATCTAGGTCAAATAGGGGAGGGGCGTTGAGCCGTGGTGCTGTTTTATCGGTTTTTTGAAACCAGGTTTGCTGTTCATTTGAGCAATATGAGATGGAACGGAGTTCCATGCAATAATGGCTCTATATAATACTGTCCGCTTTCTTGAATTTGTTCTGGATTTGGGGACTGTGAAAAGACCCCTGGTGGCATGTCTGGTGGGGTAAGTGTGTGTTCAACACATTAATGTTTCTTATAAAAAGAAAAAGTGATGCAGTCAGTCTCTCCTCAACTCTTAGCTAAGAGAGACTGGCATGCATAGCATTTATAACAGCTCTCTGATTACAATGAAGAGCAAGATGTGTCGCTCTGTTTTGGGTCTGCTGCAGCTTATCTCGGTCTTTCCTTGCAGCACTGAACCACACGACTGGACAATAATCAAGATTAGACAAAACTAGAGCCTGCAGAATTTGCTTTTTGGAGTGTGGTGTCAAAAAAGCAGAGCATCTCTTTATTACGGACAGACCTCTCCCCATCTTTACAACAATTGAATCTATATGTTTTGACCATGATAGATTGTAAACTAAGGTAACGCCAAGTAATTTAGTTTCCTCAACTTGTTCAACAGCCACACCATTCATTACCAGATTCAGCAGAGGTCTAGAATTTAGGGAATGATTTGTACCAAATACAATGCTCTTAGTTTTAGAGATGTTCCTGACCAGTTTATTAGTCCACCCATTCCAAAACAGACTGCAACTCTTTAAGGGTTTTAGTGATAAAATTAGCTGTGGTTGCTGATGCGTATATGGTTGAATCATCAGCATACATGGACACACATGCTTTGATTAATGCCAGTGGCAGGTCATTGGTAAAAATATAAAAGAGTAGAGGGCCTAAAGAGCTGCCCTGTGGTACACCACACTTTACATGTTTGACATTAGAGAAGCTTCCATTAAAGAAAACCCTTTAAGTTCTATTAGATAGATAGCTCTGAATCCACGATATGGCAGAGGTTGAAAAGCCATAACACATACGTTTTTTCAACAACAGGTTATGGTCAATAATATCAAAGGCTGCACTGAAATCTAACAGTACAGCTCCCACAATCTTCTTATTATCAATTTCTTTCAACCAATCATCAGTAATTTGTGTCAGTGCAATACATGTTGAGTGCCCTTCCCTATAAGCATGCTGAAAGTCTGTTAATCTGTTTACAGAGAAATAGCATTGTATTTGGTCAAACACCATTTTTTCCAACAGTTTGCTAAGAGCTGGCAGCAAGCTGATTGGTCTGCTGTTAGAACCAGTAAAGGCCGCTTTACCATTCTTGGATAGCGGAATTACTTTGGCTTCCCTCCAGGCCTGAGGACAAATACTTTCCTCTAGGCTCAGATTAAAGATATGACAGATAGGAGTGGCTATAGAGTCAGCTACCATCCTCAGTAGCTTTCCATCTAAGTTGTCAATGCCAGGAGGTTTGTCATTATTGATCGATAACAATAACTTTTCCACCTCTCCCACACTAACTTTACAGAATTCAAACTTGCAATGCTTTTCTTTCATTATGTATGAATATGATGGCTCACTGTTCATTGTTGGCATTTCCTGCCTAAGTTTGCCCACTTTGCCAATTAAGTAATCATTAAAATATTTGGCAACATCAAAATGGTTTTGTGATGAATAAGCCATCTGATTCTATTACATTTACATCATTTAGCAGACGCTCTTATCCAGAGCGACTTACAAATTGGTGCATTCAACTTATGATAGACAGTGGGACAACCACTTTTTTTTAATGGGGGGGGGGGGGGGGGGGGGGGGGGAGGGAGGGTAGAAGGATTACTTTTATACTATTACAGATATTCCTTAAAAGAGGTAGGGTTTCAAGTGTCTCCGGAAGGTGGCCAGTGACTCCGCTGTCCTGGCGTCGTGGGGGAGCTAGTTCCACCATTGTGGTGCCAGAGCAGCGAATAGCTTTGACTGGGCTGAGCAGGAACTGTGCTTCCGTAGAGGTAAGGGGGCTAGCAGGCCAGAGGTGGATGAACGTAGTGCCCTCGTTTGGGTGTAGGGTCTGATCAGAGCCTGAAGGTACGGAGGTGCCGTTCCCCTCACAGCTCCGTAGGCAAGCACCATGGTCTTGTAGTAGATGCGAGCCTCAACTGGAAGCCAGTGGAGTGTGCGGAGGAGCGGGGTGACATGAGAGAACTTGGGAAGGTTGAACACCAGACGGGCTGCAGCGTTCTGGATATGTTGTAGGGGTTTAATGGCACAGGCAGGGAGCCCAGCCAACAGCGAGTTGCAGTAATCCAGACGGGAGATGACAAGTGCCTGGATTAGGACCTGTGCCGCTTCCTGTGTAAGGTAGGGTCGTACTCTGCGAATGTTGTAGAGCATGAACCTGCAGGATCGGGTCACCGCTTTGATGTTAGCGGAGAACGACAGGGTGTTGTCCAGGGTCACGCCAAGGTTCTTTGCATTCTGGGAGGAGGACACAATGGAGTTGTCAACCGTGATGGCGAGATCATGGAGCGGGCAGTCCTTCCCCGGGAGGAAGAGCAGCTCCGTCTTGCTGAGGTTCAGCTTGAGGTGGTTATCCAACATCCACACTGATATGTCTGCCAGATGAAACATTTATTTGTCTTTCTGCCCATAATTTCATTTAAATTACTCCAAAGTTTTTTACATCATTCTTTATATCATTTATATCTTTGATCTTGGCTTCATAATACAGTTTCTTATTTTTGTTGAGTTTAGTCAGGGATGTAGCTCAGTTGGTAGAGCATGGCGTTTGCAACGCCGCCAGGGTTGTGGGTTCGATTCCCACGGGGGGCCAGTATGAAAAAAATAATAATAATAATAATAATAATAATAATGTATGCACTCACTAACTGTAAGTCGCTCTGGATAAGAGCGTCTGCTAAATGACTAAAATGTAAATGTAAATGTAGTCACATCATTTCTCAATTTGCAGCAATTGGTTTGGTTATCGTTGTCGTCGGGTGAGGTTGTGTCTCTCTCTGGCGGGAGGTAAGCTTGGCTTATATGGTGTCGAGTAAAGCTTAAACTATGTAGTTAGATTGTAGTTAGGTATTGTAGGTAGTTATCGTGGGTTATTGTATGTAATTATTTTAGGTACTGTATTCGGCTGAGCCCGGTGAAGCACGAGGCTAGCTAACCCACTACCTGGACTAGCTAGCGGGTAGCTACTGGTAACTATTAGCAACTGTGGATAGTTGTTTCACGCTTGAGAGTACCTGTAATTACGCCAGCTAGCTGCCTACAATAATTACATACAATAATGCCTACCATTCAGCTGTTTTTCTAACCTCATTGTCTGAAGCGTTAACGTTAGGTAGTAAGTAGCTACTGTGCTCGAAATGTAGCTAGCTTGTTGCTACCTGGATAGCTACTAAACAATAGCTGGAACGACCTAGCGAACAGACGCGAACTGGCTGAATCGATTCAGTGGCTAGCTTTGCACTTGGCTAGCTAACAGTAGCTACTAGGTGTAAGCTATAACCTACATTTGTGTTTTGTTTTTACATACTGGTAGCCAGAGTCGTTCAAGGGAATTCAGGACATGGGTGACTAGTTAACGTTAGCTTAGCTCTCTCTGTGTGTTCGTGCCGTGGGAGGACGGGTTTCTTCGTTGGCAGAAAGCAATGGCTAGCTAGTATGCTAACTATTCTAGCTAACTAACTGGCTGAATAAGTTGACGACGGACTCGCTCAAGCTGTCGGTACTAACCCACAACGTTAGACACGGACACGAATGATCTGCTTGGCGTGTTGACACACTGGTGGTTTGTTGTGGCCGAGTATTGGTGCTAAACCGTGTTGATGGAGTCCGGCATGCTAGTTGGCTGTGGTGTCATATGACTAGGTGCCCTGGACGGTTTTCACGGAAGAATACTGTACCAAGTTAGCTAGCTGAATAAACTAAGTTAGTCTATTCCTAGAAAACATTGAACAGCTGTAGTTTACAACAATTATAGTTTCTGAGGTGGAAGTTGGGAGAGTTATATTTGGGTGTTTCAGTGAAACATAAGTGAGGGAGGCCCCGCTCTCTCGCTTTCCCAGATGTTTAGTTCATTACATTCCGATCTCCTTTGCATTATTGTAGCCATTTTCTGTAGCCTGTCAACTATGCCTCTGTCTATCCCTGTTCTCTCCTCTCCGCACAGGCTATACAAACGCCTCACACCGTGTGGCTGCTGCCTCTCTAACCTGGTGGTCCCTGCACGCACGACCCACGTGGAGTTCCAGGTCTCCAGCAGCCTCTGGAACTGCCGTTCTGCGGCCAACAAGGCAGAGTTCATCTCAGCCTATCCTACCCTCCAATCCCTCGACTTCTTGGCGCTGACGGAAACATGGATTACCACTGAAAACACTGCTACTCCTACTGCTCTCTCCTCGTCTGACCATGTGTTCTCGCATACCCCGAGAGCATCTGGTCAGCGGGGTGGTGGCACAGGAATCCTCATCTCTCCCAAGTGGACATTCTCTCTTTTTCCCCTGACCCATCTGTCTATCTCCTCATTTGAATTCCATGCTGTCACAGTCACTAGCCCATTCAAGCTTAACATCCTTGTCATTTATCGCCCTCCAGGTTCCCTTGGAGAGTTCATCAAATGAGCTTGACGCCTTGATAAGGTCCTTTCCTGAGGATGGCTCACCCCTCACATTTCTGGGGGACTTCAACCTCCCTACGTCTACCTTTGACTCATTTCTCTCTGCCTCCTTCTTTCCACTCCTCTCCTCTTTTGACCTCACCCTCTCACCGTCCCCCCCTACTCACAAGGCAGGCAATATCTTCACCTCATCTTTACTAGATGCTGTTCTTCTACTAATCTCACTGCAACTCCCCTCCATGTCTCCGACCACTACTTTGTATCCTTTTCTCTCTCGCTCTCCTCCAACACTACTCACTCTGCCCCTACTCAGACGGTAATGCGCCGTCGCAACCTTCGCTCTCTCTCCCGCTACTCTCTCCTCTTCCATCCTATCATCTCTTCCCTCTGCTCAATCCTTCTCCCTCCGATCTCCTGATTCTGCCTCTTCAACCCTCCTCTCCTCCCTTTCTGCATCTTTTGACTCTATGTCCCCTATCCTCCCGGCCGGCTCGGTCCTCCCCTCCTGCTCCGTGGCTTGACGACTCATTGCGAGCTCACAGAACAGGGCTCCGGGCAGCCGAGCGGAAATGGAGGAAAACTAGACTCCCTGCGGACCTGGCATCTTTTCACTCCCTCCTCTCTACATTTTCTTCATCTGTTTCTGCTGCTAAAGCCACTTTCTACCACTAAATTCCAAGCATCTGCCTCTAACCCCAGGAAGCTCTTTGCCACCTTCTCCTCCCTGCTGAATCACCCCCCCCCCCCCCCCCCCCCCCTCTCTGTGGATGACTTCGTCAACCATTTTGAAAAGAAGGTTGACGACATCCGATCCTCGTTTGTTAAGTCAAATGACACTGCTGGTCCTGCTCACACTGCCCTACCCTATGCTTCGACTTCTTTCTCCCCTCTCTCTCCATATGAATTCTTGCGACTTGTGACGGCCGGCCGCCCAAGCCCACTTGACCCTATCTCCTCCTCTCTTCTCCAGACCATCTCCGGTGACCTTCTCCCTTACCTCACCTCGCTCATCAACTCATCCTTGACCGCTGGCTATGTCCCTTCCGTCTTCAAGAGAGCGAGAGTTGCACCCCTTCTCAAAAAACCAACACTGGATCCCTCTGATGTCAACAACTACAGACGAGTATCCCTTCTTTTTTTCTCTCCAAAACTCTTGAGCGTGCCGTCTTTAGCCAACTCTCTTGCTATCTCTCTCAGAATTACCTTCTTGATCCAAACCAGTCAGGTTTCAAGACTGGTCATTCAACTGAGACTGCTCTTCTCTGTGTCACGGAGGCTCTCCGCACTGCTAAAGCTAACTCTCTCTCCTCTGCTCTTGTCCTTCTAGACCTGTCTGCTGCCTTTGATACTGTGAACCATCAGATCCTCCTCTCCACCCTCTCCGAGTTGGGCATCTCCGGCGCGGCTCACTCTTGGATTGCGACCTACCTGATGGGTCGCTCCTACCAAGTGGCGTGGCGAGAATCTGTCTCCGCACCACGTGCTCTCACCACTGGTGTCCCCCAGGGCTCAGTTCTAGGCCCTCTCCTATTCTCACTATACACCAAGTCACTTGGCTCTGTCATATCCTCACATGGCCTCTCCTATCATTGCTACGCAGACGACACACAACTAATCTTCTCCTTTCCCCCTTCTGATAACCAGGTGGCGAATCGCATCTCTGCATGTCTGGCAGACATATCAGTGTGGATGTTGGATCACCACCTCAAGCTGAACCTCGGCAAGACGGAGCTGCTCTTCCTCCCGGGGAAGGACTGCCCGTTCCATGATCTCGCCATCACGGTTGACAACTCCGTTGTGTCCTCCTCCCAGAGTGCGAAGAGCCTTGGCGTGACCCTGGACAACACCCTGTCATTCTCCACTAACATCAAGGCGGTGACCCGATCTTGTAGGTTCATGCTCTACAACATTCGGAGAGTACGACCCTGCCTTACACAGGAAGCGGCACAGGTCCTAATCCAGGCACTTGTCATCTGTCTGGATTACTGCAACTCGCTGTTGGCTGGGCTCCCTGCCTGTGCCATTAAACCCCTACAACTCATCCAGAATGCCGCAGCCCGTCTGGTGTTCAACCTTCCCAAGTTCTCTCACGTCACCCTGCTCCTCCGCACACTCCACTGGCTTCCAGTTGAAGCTCGCATCTGCTACAAGACCATGGTGCTTGTCTACGGAGCTGTGAGGGGAACGGCACCTCCGTACCTTCAGGCTCTGATCAGTCCCTACACCCAAAACGAGGCCATTGCGTTCATCCACCTCTGGCCTGCTGGCCCCCATACCTCTGCGGAAGCACAGTTCCCGCTCAGCCCAGTCAAAACTGTTCGCTGCTCTGGCACCCCAATGGTGGAACAAGCTCCCTCACGACGCCAGGACAGCAGAGTCACTCACCACCTTCCGGAGACACTTGAAACCCCACCTCTTTAAGGAATACCTGGGATAGGATAAAGTCATCCTTCTACCCCCCCTTACCCCACCCCAAAGAAAGAAAAAAAACATATTGTAAAGTGGTTATGCCACTGGCTATAAGGTGAATGCACCAATTTGTAAGTCGCTCTGGATAAGAGCGTCTGCTAAATGACGTAAATGTAAATGTAAAGTCAACCAGTCAGATGTGCAGCCAGACATATTAGCTACTCCTTTTGCCCCATCTCTTTCAACCATCGTTTTTCAATACCTCATCAATCCATGGAGCCTTAACAGTTCTAACAGTCAGTTTCCTAACAGGTGCATGTTTATCAATAATTGGAAGAAGCAATTTCATAAATTCATCAAGTGCAGTGTCTGGATGCTCCTTATTTTTCACATCAGACCAACAAATATCATCCACATATGAGTCACAGCAGAATCTTTTGTATGATCTCTTATACACTATTTTAGGCCCAGCTGTTGGAACTTTGGCTTTCCTGGATATAGCCACTGTAATGTTATCACTGCATCCAATGGGTACGGATACAGCTTTAGAACAATGTTCTACAGTATTAGTAGTAAAAATTTGATCGATACATGTGGATGATCTTGTTCCTGTAGTGTTTGTAAACACCCTGGTAGGTTGATTAATAATCTGAACCAGATTACAGGCACTGGTTACAGTAAGAACCTTCCTCTTTAGTGGACAGCTTGATGAAAACCAGTCAATATTCAGGTCCCCAAGAAAGTAGACCTCTCTGTTTACATCACATACACTATCAAGCATTTCACACATATTATTTAGATACTGACTGTTCGCACTTGGTGGCCTATAGCAACGCACTAAAAGAAAAGGCTTTAGATGTGGCAAGTGAACCTGCAACCACAACACTTCAATAATACTTTACTTAAGATCTTCTCTAAGCATTACAAGGATATGGCTCTGAATATATACAGCAACACCTCCCCCATAAGCATTTCTGTCTCTTCTATAGATGTTATATTCTTGTATTGCTACTGCTGTATCATCAAATGAATTATCTAAGTGAGTCTCAGAAATGGCTAATATATAAATGTTGTCTGATGTTAGCAAGTTATTGATTTCATGAACCTTATTTCTAAGGCTACATATATTAATAATTTGCTATTTTCAGCCCTTTCCTGGGTAGCTTATCAGAGGTCGACATAATACTGAAAAGAGCAAACAAAGCAAGATAAAAAATATATACATTCAGCAGTCCATTAATCAATTGGTGTGTGTGTGTGTGTGTGCACGCGCTGTGGGGTTGAAGCTATGAACCCATAGGCTTGGCTCTCTCATCCCTTCCAGGCTTCTGGGAGGGAGGGTGGATAATGAGCCTGTCATAGTGGATGTAAGCAATGTCCCTACTGGCAGCTTTCATGGCTGGGATAAGTTATTCCCTCTTCAGGCGCGCAGCTTCAGGATAGTCATCGTTGAGAAAGATATACATTCCTCTCAAGGTCTTGGCTCTTTCCAGAACAGCTACCTTGTCCTTGAACATCAGGAACTTCAACTCAATCTTCTTGTGGTCCATCTTCAATTTCTCCGAGATCATTTCCCTCACTTTGTCCTCAGACTCCGTCCAGGTCTCATGTGGAGATTCTGCAATTCCATCCACAACCATGTTGTTACGCCTTGATTGTCCCTCTGGATTTATCCGTCATTGTTATCATGGATTCATACACAGAACTGATGTCCTCTCTCAATGACTTAAAGATTACTGTCATCTTGCCGTTCTCCTTTTTCAACTAATCGAGCTGACCCTGGGAGAACTGCAAACTGTTCTTTAGGTCCTGGACCTCTCTGGTCAGGTCGTCCATTCTTTTATTAGTTGAATCCACCAGCATTTGGACAAAGCACTTGAAGCTATTTTCTTGTTGCTGTAACAACTGTTTGTATTACTCTTTTTGTTCGTTTAAAAGATCCTTCACGTGTGATAGAGAGACACCACTGTCCTCGGCAACGGTACTCCCGCCAGCTTTGGTCTTTGTCATGGTAGCTAGCAACGTAGGTTACGCTGTTACTCCTCACAGTTCCAGAGAGGGCAGGTCACAGGGAAGCTTGAAAACAACAAAACAGCAGGGATCTAAACAGCCACAAACCCGGGACAATCCGTGGGCCCAGCCACAATGGCTAACCGCTGCGTTCAAGCTCTCAAGAAAACCCTGCTTGCTTTATATGCTTCATATGCTGCAACGCCAAATAGCTCCTCAGACCCTGTCCTTGGTCGGCAGGATCACTGGACAGAGACTAGCAATCCCAGCAACTGATGCCAACTGTGTCGCGGGATCAAAACTAAAAAGTTAGCTACCTAGTAAGAACTTCCCAATACACTTTCAAAACAATAAATCCGAGCTCTTCCTCGGATTTGATGCCAACTTTGCACACTCTTGGCATTCTCTCAACCAGCTTCACCTGGAATGCTTTTCCAACAGTCTTGAAGGTGTTCCCACATATGCTGAGCACTTGCTTGCTGCTTTTCCTTCAACTTTGTGGTCCAACTCATCCCAAACCATCTCAATTGGGTTGAGGCCAGGTCATCTGATGCACCACTCCATCACTCTCTTTCTTGGTCAAATAGCCCTTACACAGCCTGGAGGTGTGTTGGCCCCCCCGTGTAGCTCAGTTGGTAGAGCATGGTGTTTGCAACGCCAGGGTTGTAGGTTCGATTCCCACAGGGGGCCAGTATGAAAATGTATGCACTCACTAACTGTAAGTCGCTCTGGATAAGAGCTTCTGCTAAATGATTAAAATGTAAAATGTAAATGTCATTGTCCTGTTGAAAAATAAATGATAGAACCAGATGGGATGGCGTATCGCTGCAGAACGCTGCGGTAGCCATGCTGGTAAAGCGTGCCTTGAATTCTAAATAAATCACAGACAGTGTCACTAGCAAAACACCCCCACACCATCACACCTCCTCCTCCATGCTTCACGGTGGGAACCACACATGCGGAGATCATCCGTTCACCTACTCTGCGTCTCACAATGACACGGCAGTTGGAACCACAAATCTCAAATTTGGACTCAGACTAACAGGACAGATTTCCACCGGTTTAATGTCCATTGCTCATGTTTCTTGGCCCAAGAAAGTCTCTTCTTATTGGTGTCCTTTAGTTGTGGTTTCTTTGCAGCAATTCAACCATGAAGACCTGATTCACGCAGTCTCCTCTGAACAGTTGATGTTGAGATGTGCCTGTTACTTGAACTCTGTGAAGCATTTATTTGGGCTGCAATTTCTGAGGCTGGTAACTCTAATGAACTTATCCTCTGCAGCAGAGGTAACATCGGGTCTTCCTTTCCTGTGGCGGTCCTCATGAGAGTCAGTTTCATCAAAGCGCTTGATGGTTTTTGCGACTGCACTTGAAGAAACTTTCAAAGTTTTTGACATTTTCCGTATTGACTGACCTTTATGTCTTAAAGTAATGATGGACTGTAATTTCTCTTAGCTTATTTGAGCTGTTCTTGCCATAATATGGACTTGGTCTTTTACCAAATAGGGCTATCTTCTGTATACCCCCCTACCTTGTCACAACACAAATTATTGGCTCAAACGCATTAAGGAAATAAATTACACACATTTTTAAGAAGGTACACCTGTTAATTGAAATGCATTCCAGGTGACAACCTCATGAAGCTGGTTGAGAGAATGCCAAGAGTGTGCAACACTGTGATCAAGGCAAAGGGTGGCTATTTGAAGAATCTCAAATATAAAATATATTTTGATTTGTTTAACACTTTTTTGGTTACTACATGATTCCATATGTGTTATTCATAGTTTTGATGTCTTCACTATTATTCTGCAATATAGGAAATAGTACAAATAAAGAATAACCCTTGAATGTGTAGGTGTCCAAACTTTTGACACGTACTGTATGTATGTGTATGTACACATACAGTGGGGGAAAAAAGTATTTAGTCAGCCACCAATTGTGCAAGTTCTCCCACTTAAAAAGATGAGAGAGGCCTGTAATTTTCATCATAGGTACACGTCAACTATGACAGACAAATTGAGATTTTTTTTCTCCAGAAAATCATATTGTAGGATTTTTAATGAATTTATTTGCAAATTATGGTGGAAAGTAAGTATTTGGTCAATAACAAAAGTTTCTCAATACTTTGTTATATACCCTTTGTTGGCAATGACACAGGTCAAACGTTTTCTGTAAGTCTTCACAAGGTGTTCACACACTGTTGATGGTATTTTGGCCCATTCCTCCATGCAGATCTCCTCTAGAGCAGTGATGTTTTGGGGCTGTCGCTGGGCAACACGGACTTTCAACTCCCTCCAAAGATTTTCTATGGGGTTGAGATCTGGAGACTGGCTAGGCCACTCCAGGACCTTGAAATGCTTCTTACGAAGCCACTCCTTCGTTGCCCGGGTGGTGTGTTTGGGATCATTGTCATACTGAAAGACCCAGCCACGTTTCATCTTCAATGCCCTTGCTGATGGAAGGAGGTTTTCACTCAAAATCTCACGATACATGGCCCCATTCATTCTTTCCTTTACACGGATCAGTCGTCCTGGTCCCTTTGCAGAAAAACAGCCCCAAAGCATGATGTTTCCACCCCCATGCTTCACAGTAGGTATGGTGTTCTTTGGATGCAACTCAGCATTCTTTGTCCTCCAAACACGACGAGTTGAGTTTTTACCAAAAATTTATATTTTGGTTTCATCTGACCATATGACATTCTCCCAATCCTCTTCTGGATCATCCAAATGCACTCTAGCAAACTTCAGACGGCCTGGACATGTACTGGCTTAAGCAGGGGGACACGTCTGGCACTGCAGGATTTGAGTCCCTGGCGGCGTAGTGTGTTACTGATGGTAGGCTTTGTTACTTTGGTCCCAGCTCTCTGCAGGTCATTCACTAGGTCCCCCCATGTGGTTCTGGGATCTTTGCTCACCGTTCTTGTGATCATTTTGACCCCACGGGGTGAGATCTTGCGTGGAGCCCCAGATCGAGGGAGATTATCAGTGGTCTTGTATGTCTTCCATTTCCTAATAATTGCTCCCACAGTTGATTTCTTCAAACCAAGCTGCTTACCTATTGCAGATTCAGTCTTCCCAGCCTGGTGCAGGTCTACAATTTTGTTTCTGGTGTCCTTTGACAGCTCTTTGGTCTTGGCCATAGTGGAGTTTGGAGTGTGACTGTTTGAGGTTGTGGACAGGTGTCTTTTATACTGATAACAAGTTCAAACCGGTGCCATTAATACAGGTAACGAGTGGAGGACAGAGGAGCCTCTTAAAGAAGAAGTTACAGGTCTGTGAGAGCCAGAAATCCTGCTTGTTTGTAGGTGACCAAATACTTATTTTCCACCATAATTTGCAAATAAATTCATTAAAAATCCTACAATGTGATTTTCTGGATTTTTTTCTCTCAATTTGTCTGTCATAGTTGACGTGTACCTATGATGAAAATTACAGGCCTCTCTCATCTTTTTAAGTGGGAGAACTTGCACAATTGGTGGCTGACTAAATACTTTTTTTCCCCACTGTACATACATACATACATACATACATATACACACAGTTGAAGTCGGAAGTTTACATACACTTAGGTTGGAGTCATTAAAACTCGTTTTTCAACCACTCCACAAATTTCTTGTTAACAAACTATAGTTTTGGCAAGTCGGTTAGGACATCTACTTTGTGCATGACACAAGTAATTTTTCCAACAATGGTTTACAGACAGATTATTTCACTTACAATTCACTGTATCACAATTCCAGTGGGTCAGAAGTTTACATACACTAAGTTGACTGTGCCTTGGCTTTCGAAGCTTCTGATAGGCTAATTGACATCATTTTAGTCAATTGGAGGTGTACCTGTGGATGTATTTCAAGGCCTACCTTCAAACTCAGTGCCTCTTTGCTTGACATCATGGGGAAATCAAAAGAAATCAGCCAAGACATCAGAAAAAAAAATTGTAGACCTCCACAAGTCTGGTTCATCATTGGGAGCAATTTCCAAACGCCTGAAGGTACCACGTTCATCTGTACAAACAATAGTACGCAAGTTTAAACACCATGGGACCACGTAGCCGTCATACCGCTCAGGAAGGAGACGCGTTCTGTCTCCTAGAGATGAACGTACTTTGGTGCGAAAAGTGCAAATCAATCCCAGAACAACAGCAAAGGTCCTTGTGAAGATTCTGGAGGAAACAGGTACAAAAGTATCTATATCCACAGTACAACAAGTCCTATATTGACATAACCTGAAATGCTGCTCAGCAAGGCGCCACTGCTCCAAAACCGCCATAAAAAAGCCAGACTACGGTTTGCAACTGCACATGGGGACAAAGATCGTACTTTTTGGAGAAATGTCCTCTGGTCTGATGAAACAAATATATAACTGTTTGGCCATAATGACCATCGTTACGTTTGGAGGAAAAAGGGGGTTCCTTACAAGCCGAAGAACACCATCCCAACCGTGAAGCACGGGGGTGGCAGCATCATGCTGTGGGAGTGCTTTGCTGCAGGAGTGACTGGTGCACTTCAGAAAATAGATGGCATCATGAGGAAGGACAATTATGTGGATATATTGAAGCAACATCTCAAGACATCAGTCAGGAAGTTAAAGCTTGGTCGCAAATGGGTCTTCCAAATGGACAATGACCCCAAGCATACTTCCAAAGTTGTGGCAAAATGGCTTAAGGACAACAAAGTCAAGGTATTGGAGTGGCCATCACTAAGCCCTGACCTCAATCCTATAGAAAATGGAAAATGTGTGGGCAGAACTGAAAAAGCGTGTGCGAGCATGGAGGCCAACAAACCTGACTCAGTTACACCAGCTCTGTCAGGAGGAATGAGCCAAAATTCACCCAACTTATTGTGGGAAGCTTGTGGAAGGCTACCCGAAACATTTGACCCAAGTTAAACAATTTAAAGGCAATGCTACCAATTACTAATTGAGTGTACGTAAACTTCTGACCCACTGGGAATGTGATGAAAGAAATAAAAACTGAAATAAATCATTTTCTCTACTATTATTCTGACATTTCACATTCTTAAAATAAGGTGGTGATCCTAATTGACCTATGACAGGGAATTTTTACTAGGATTAAAATGTCAGGAATTGTGAAAAACTGAGTTTAAATGTATTTGGCTAAGGTGTATGTAAACTTGCGACTTCAACTGTATGTATGTATATATATATATATATATATATATATATATATATATATATATATATATATATATATATATATATATATAGAGAGAGAGAGAGAGAGTCACTACTTTCACAGGTTACTCCCTACTACCACAGGCAGACTGACAGCCACCATTTTCTCCAGCTCAGTTATAGCTCCTCAGTCTCTACTCTGCAGCAACGTTTGAAACATGAGTAGACAACATACCACTTCTCACACACTCAGAACAGTTGGGATTCAAAGCATAACAGTCTAGATTTTCCAGACCCTGATGTTTTGTTGTTTCTAACAGATATGCCACAACTGACGTAGATTTTCAGTGGCCAGAATCCTCCTAGTATGGATAACAGTCCAGATGGCTGGCACACACACACTTCCAGGCAGGCTTGTTTAAGCAGCAGTGAGTAAGAGGAAAGAAAGCTTTATTTCCGATAGTTACAAGTTCTAATGTAAATAAGGAAGCATAGCTGTGGCAAATATACACGTCTGTTTCCCACCATGTTGCGTCAATAGATAATATAGGTCTGAGGGAAAAATACAAAGGAAGTGTGTAGGAGTGTGAAATGCGAAGAGAGACTGAGATATTGTGGGGGAGTATTAGTGTGTGTGAGGGTGAAAATGGTAAATAGTGTGGGTGTCTGTTGTGATGTAACCAAGTGGCTAGATGATGGCTACCCAACCATGTTACTCTACTCCTGCTTGTTGTTTAAGCCAACTCTGAAGAAGAAAAAACAGTGACTAATACTGCTTCACATGCTTAGTGACTAAACAGTGAAAAATGTCAACTGTTAGTAAACATGCCAACTCAAACTGTTGGTTTAGTCAATGTGTGGTGCTTGATGCAGCATCACAGATGACGACCTCAGACGTGTTTACCATATTTGTAGAGATTAAAGGTAAACATATAATGGGGGGGCTGGTCTAGTGGTAGTGCTGCCACCCCTGAAGCACACATGCCCCTGGAGGCAGTGGTTCAATACCCCGTTCCACCACTCACTTTCTGTACTGTATCCATCTTCCCATCTCATTTTCTAATTTATATCTGTCAATCAGTTCTTCACACAAACCGGTGCGCCTGGCACCAACTACCATACCCCATTCAAAGGCACTTAAATATTTTGTCTTGCCCATTCACCCTTTCAATGGCACACATACACAATCCATGTCTCAATTGTCTCAAGGTTTAAAAATCTGTCTTTAACCTGTCTCCTCCCCTTCATCTACACTGATTGAAGTGGATTTAACAGGTGACATCAATAAGGGACATTTGAATGTTACTCCCATGTAGGCCTGTATTTACAGTTATATCTTGTTTTGTCTGATCATGGGGGAAGTCTCAACTGGAAGTTATGAACCCAGAAAAGGTCATTTCAGTTTTGGAATTTTACAGAATATTCCAAGTTGTGAAATTCCAGTGGGCAGTTAAAGAATCCCTACAGGGAGTTGAGGAATAAGACAAGGAAGACTGATGTGATGTTAGAGTGATGTTAGAATGTGATGCGCTCCTTGAGAGAGAATTAGGTCGACAGAGCAGAGCTGCTGTCTCTCAAAGAGAGTTACAGAGTGAAAGCCTGTGGGTTTGAGGAGCCTGTGGGTTTGGACATAATTTTTCTGATTTCACACTCACACTTCGTGACTCACTGACTGTCTGTACTGCAGCGATAGAGGGAGGGAGAATGAAATCTGTAGAAGACGAGAGGAAAGAGATGGCTCATTTCTCTTCATGAAGCATCCTCCTCCCCTCCATCTCTCCTCTCTGCCTTTGGAAAGTCTCTCTCCCTCTCTTTTTTAGAAATAAACTATCAATCCCTCTATTCAGAGGGGAGCTTTCGCTCTATAACTCTCTCTCTCTGAGAGACAGCAGCTCTGCTCTGTCAACCTAGTTCTCTCTCCAGGAGCGCATCACATTCACATCACATACTGTACCAGACAGACAGACGGGCGGCTCATCTCTCTCCCTCTCGTCACAAACAGCTCCTACAGCTGTTACTAAAAGTCTGCTCCAGCACTGATATAAACACAAATTTCATTTACAGACACCGGCTCAGGACCTAGACAGGGTTCATAATAAATCTCCAATGCCAACATATACTTGTGAACACACAAATGATCTTCAGACTAGATCTGATATCTATAGATCTATCTATTTAACTAATTGAGTGCATATTCAGGCAGTCCCTAGAGAGGACCTTCTCTGACTGTCCACAGCTACATTCTCCTAACCTCATAACCAAAGTAGAGCGCAGACACACATAGAGATCCCTAATGGGTTGAGGACATTACATAACATTCAGTAATAGAGAAGCAGGTTATTCTAGCAGTGTGCAGCAACATACCAGGGCAGTGTCCCCTATCTCTCCTCACACTCATAAAGAAGACACCCCTCTCTCCACACGTAGCAACTACTGACTTATTTATAGCGGTGAAAGCACAGGAGACTGGCCTCACAGTTCACACTACATTTAAGCCTGGAAATAGAATATAGTTTACACAGAGAGAGAGAGAGACAGAGAGACAGAGACAGAGAGAGAGAGAGAGAGAGAGAGAGAGAGAGAGAGAGAGAGAGAGAGAGAGAGAGAGAGAGAGAGAGAGAGAGAGAGAGAGAGAGAGAGAGAGAGAGAGAGAGAGAGAGAGAGAGAGAGAGAGAGAGATAGGGAGAGCTAGAAAGAAGGAGAAAAGCAGGAGAAATGGAGAGGGAGGGAGAAAGAGCGATAGAGAGAGAAAAGGAGAGAATTATGCATAATTGAGAAAGAACAGAAGGTTAAGTGGGTGAGAGAGAGAGAACAAGGGAGGGAGGTTCTCTACATGTTTTTAATGTCAAGAGCATCTCATAATTATCACGAACATAAAGATTATCTGTACTGGTGGATTAATGGGTACACAGAACTTTGCTCCCCAAATCAATAAGAAAAGTATTTGATCTAGTAGGTGAAGAAAGGGATTGCTACACTGTACCTTGTCAAGGGCCTCCCGATCTACCAGGTCTTGGACTGCCAGTAACTTGATGCTGGAGAGAGCAAGAGAGGAATAGAGAGAGATGGTGTGAGACACATGGATGCATCAATTAAACAGTGGAGAATCATCTCTGTTATCCAAGCTGACCTTTGCGTTATTATTAGCCATATGATAGGGTGATAAATACACCAGTTCTGGTAATAGAGGAGAGGCCAGTGCATTATTAACACAGAGGGCCTCCCTACACATCCAGGATCCTCCTGACTCTACAACACATTACATGACTCAGTCTTTTCCCCTGAGGCACCATGTAATAAAGTCAACGGATGTGTCTGAAATGGCACACTATTCCCTACATAGTGCACCATACACAGCGGCTCTGTTCCAAAGTAGTGCACTAGGGAATAGGGGTGCCATTTCGGACACATACAACATTTATTATGCAGAGAAAGGCAGAGGGGAAGAGTAGACTTTGGACTGCAAGCCCAGGAGATTGTACATACAAACACATTGGTGCAGAGATGGGGTGGAACCTACTTTACGATCCCATAAACATGAAACTGTTTAGTTTCTAATTGTTTTTCCAGCCCACTAGTCAGCGTGATAAAAAAAGGGCAAAGCACTATTCTCTCTTTCTCCATCTTGGCCCCACTCTCCTCTTGCTCCATCCTGCACACTGTTCTCATGTCCCCCTCACTCACTCAGATCCACACAACTGCTGGCTATTAACTAAATGAGCAAACGGAACATTCCTTATTCGTTCACTGACTCATTCAGACTTGTTTAAAAATTAACCCCAGAGAAAACTCATTTGGTAATAGGATATTTTTTTTGGGGGGGGGGGTTCATCTTCAACAGAGGGCTTAGACTATGGACTACAGCTGTAACAGAAGAGGTAAAAATACTCTGGCCTATTTCACAGGTGGGATTAGACACACACACCCCCCACTGGTATGTCCATTACGGAAATATTTTACAGAGCTGCTTGACTGCACTGCACATCCTCGGTCTCCATGGCGACCAGGTACAGTGTTTTAATGCCCTCCGTCCACAGTATTGATTAAGGCTGATTAACTTTAATTAGATAATTAAATCTAAGGCAGTGAAAATGAGACTGTAGTCTAGTGTATTTTTATGCCTATTGTGAAGAGCCTATCTATGTGCTAGGTGATCACACACACACACACACACACACACACATCTAGTAATCCTAAAAAGGAGGTTGTGTAGGCAGGGGAGGGGGTTGCTGTGGCCCACATGTACTCCATGAATGAATGCAATCTGTTAACAGTTATGATGTAAGACACAATCAAGGTATGTGACAAATGTAGGGGCTAGTAATAACGGCCCTAAATGAGTTGGCTCCGCATAGCTGTGAATCTAGCAGAATCTTTAATACCAGTAAAAAATGTCAGGGTATGCTACTCTGCTGACACTGACCAACTGGGATCAATAAAAAAAGGAGGAAATTGTCCTAATAAAAACCCACACAAATTCCAGGAGCAAGGACTCACCCGTGAATATGTGCACTCACCGGGGATATGGCCGATGCTCTCCCTATAGTGCCAATAAGATAGGCTATTGAGCGAACAGTAGCCTATTGGGAGTTGAGAATTTTGATAGCCTAACTAAAACACAGGTTAGAGTTATTTTCTTTGTTTCCTATCTTTTGTGTTTTTCCAGCGATTGTATTTCGAAATATTGCGATAGGCCTATTTAAGATGATTTTCACTGATAGCCGCAAATCAACAAATCAGCCATTTGAAATACTGCCCACTCTAGATTATGCCCTGGCTTTATGATTTTCATACAATCAATAGCTTTTTTTATTTTTTTATTTTTTATTTTTGAAAGCTAATGATCCTCTGTGGCTAAATCATGCTCTCTGGTGTAGTGTTTTGAAGGATTGTATTGCTTTTTGTATAGACGGGAGTAATTATATAATTTTGGCAAGTTCAATTCAATTTACTTTAGAGGAAGCTGTGTAAAACAGCTGGCCGTTAGGCTAGTAGGTTTACAAGGCCGAGTTCAAATGCAGACATCAAATTCAAAGCAATCGGCGCACTGCCTAAACGACTTACCGGCAAAGCAAACTGTCTGGCACGGTCTCTGCTTTCTTAAAGTGAGAGAAAGGCGTGCAGGCTGGCATCTTCTCTCCGAGCGATGCTCTACATGGTCCTCAAGCAAGCCTTTCAATACGCTTAACAGCCGTTGCATTTTAATCGTGATTGGAATGATTTTAGTCTACTTTTTTGCAGCCTACTTTAAAATGTTTGGACTTGAGCTAGAGTATTGCGACCAGGGGTCTAATACATGAATATGTATCAGCAGACAGACAGGACAGTTAAGCCTAGATTGACTCTAATTCCAGTATACAGCTCAATCACTGTGGATGTGAATGGAGAAGTGGACTGGTGACTTTGGGACTAGCAGGATTAGTGCCCTGCCACCCTCTCCTCCCAACACATATCAGTAGGACGGTGGTCTCCCAGCGGTTCCTACAGGACATTACGCAACACTGCTGCTGGGTCTGTTCTGACTTTCACCCTTTATGCCACGCTGCATAAAAGCATCTGCTAATATAAATGGAAAAAATGCATACGTCAACGTTAGCCTCCCGGTCTGCTCTGCTCGGGAATGATTAGGTGGAGGAGGTTCACTGGATTACCTCATCCAATAGAAGAGGGAGGGAATGAAATGAAGAGCATAAAAGAGTGATAAGACAGACGACAGATGAGACTGAACTGATAAGAACAGAGAAAAGCAAGTCCACCCAGAGATATGAGACTACTTCACAGTCATATATAGACTGATAGTAAATGGAGACAAATTATTACATCATGTACTATGGACCCATTTGCAAAAAGGAATACTCCAAATCCAGCACTTGAGAAGCATTTATTTTATCCTACAAATCCAAATGCTTTGGTTGCTGTCTTCAAATGGTTTGATGCTTCTGCTTACCCACCACACTAGTTTTCCACCGTACCCTAACACCCTAATTCTTTCATAATAGATTGTGAGAGAAATCAATATTTCTGGTCTCTTATGAAAAGAGGAACTGTGCAATCAGAGACTGTGAATACAAACAGGTCTGGAGCCAGAGCGCTCTAGGAGGGTGACAACACCCCTCCTCTAGGTGTGATCACACACTCAGAGGCTACCATAGAAATAGAATGCCTCTGGGGCTCTACTGCCTCCCTTGCACTGACCACAGGTGACCTGGCCGCAGTGCAGACAGGACCTGATGTGACCGTGACCACACAGGAGAGTGTGTGTGACAGGATAGCGTGTTCAAACTCCTCAAATCCCCACACAATCCTCCTCACAGCTCGACAGGATGGGCAGATTAACAAACCAAGGCAGGCACCAAAAACAGAATGACGGATAAAAAGCTCTACTGCAAATGTACAAACAAGTGAGAGAGCACACACACACACACACACACACACACACACACACACACACGAGGATGGAGGGGGCTTGCAGCAAAGGTCACTCAAAGATCCACAATGCCGCAGAGAAACAGAGAGAGAGCAGAGCCATACTATGTGGCTCAGAGAAACCGTAATCCCTCAATGTCATCATTCATTTAAAGAAAATAACCAACGTAACTCAGACACTTACAATGATTTACCAGGTTAGGAAGACCACACACACTGAATACACAATGAAGGAAACAGAGTCTGTACTTAAGAGTAAATCTGATAACACAGAGACATTGTAGTTGCGTAAACTAAAAGTAATGAGCTGCCGCACCAAGGTCACCTTGGAATAATCCTGTCTCAGAGGGCACTATACTAGATAGCGGTGTATGAGTGCAGGCTGGTTTGAGAGAAGATGGTGTATGTGTACAGTTGTGGTCAAAAGTTTTGAGAATGACACAAGTATTGGTCTTCAAAGTTTGCTGCGTCAGTGTTTTTAGATATCTTTGTCAGATGTTACTATGGTATACTGAAGTATAATTACAAGCATTCCATAAGTGTCAAAAGGCTTTTATTGACAATTACATTAAGTTTATGCAAAGAGTCAATATTTTCAGTGTTGACCCTTCTTTTTCAAGACCTCTGCAATCCGCCCTGGCATGCTGTCAATTAACTTCTGGGCCACATCCTGACTGATGGCAGCCCATTCTTGCATAATCAATGCTTGGAGTTTGTCAGAATTTGTGGGGTTGTTTGTCCACCCGCCTCTTGAGGATTGACCACAAGTTCTCAATGGGATTAAGGTCTGGGGAGTTTCCTAGCCATGGACCCAAAATATCGATGTTTTGTTCCCCGAGCCACTTAGTTATCACTGTTGCCTTATTGCAAGGTGCTCCATCATGCTGGAAAAGGCATTGTTCGTCACCAAACTGTTCTTGGATGGTTGGGAGAAGTTGTTCTCGGAGGATGCATTGGTACCATTCTTTATTCATGGCTGTGTTCTTAGGCAAAATTGTGAGTGAGCCCACTCCCTTGGCTGAGAAGCAACCCCACACATGAATGGTCTCAGGATGCTTTACTGTTGGCATGACACAGGACTGATGGTAGCGCTCACCTTGTCTTCTCCGGGCAAGCTTTTTTCCGAATGCCCCAAACAATCGAAAAGGGCATTCATCAGAGAAAATGACTTTACCCCAGTCCTCAGCAGTCCAATCCCTGTACCTTTAGCAGAATATCAGTCTGTCCCTGATGTTTTTCCTGGAGAGAAGTGGCTTCCTCGCTGCCCTTCTTGACACCAGGTCATCCTCCAAAAGTATTTGCCTCACTGTGCATGCAGATACACTCACACCTGCCTGCTGCCATTCCTGAGCAAGCTCTGCACTGGTAGTGCCCCGATCCCGCAGCTGAATCAACTTTAGGAGACGGTCCTGGCGCTTGCTGGACTTTCTTGGGCACCCTGAAGCCTTCTTCACAACAATTGAACCTCTCTCCTTGAAGTTCTTGATGATCCGATAAATGGTTGATTTAGGTGCAATCTTACTAGCAGCAATATCCTTGCCTGTGAAGCCCTTTTTGTGCAAAGCAATGATGACTGCACGTGTTTCCTTGCAGGTAGCCATGGTTAACAGAGGAAGAACAATGATTTCAAGCACCACCCTCCTTTTAAAGCTTCCAGTCTGTTATTCTAACTCAATCAGCATGACAGAGTTATCTCCAGCCTTGTCCTCGTCAACACTCTCACCTGTGTTAACGAGGGAATCACTGACATGATGTCAGCTGGTCCTTTTGTGGCAGGGCTGAAATGCAGTGGAAATGTTTTTTGGGGATTAAGTTCATTTTCATGGCATAGAGGGACTTTGCAATTAATTGCAATTCATCTGATCACTCTTCATAACATTCTGGAATATATGCAAATTGCCATCATAAAAACTGAGGCAGCATACTTTGTGAAAATTTCTATTTGTGTCATTCTCAAAACATTTGACCACGACCGTAGACTGGTTTCGGGTCAATTGAGAACCAGTGCCGAGTGTGTACCAGTGTAAACGACAAACTGGTTACAGTTAGAGGGAATAGGCCCATGGCACCCGTCCTGGCACTGACAGAAGCAGTGTTTTCTGGGTAATGCCTCTCACTCACGGTCTGTCCTTCTATCGGTCACAAACTGCTGTCCTAATGGAATTTTCCACATGAGCGCCTTCTCCCTCTGTGCTCTTAACACTCAGCGTCAGCTACACGCACACACACACACACACACACGCGCACGCACGCTCGCTCAGCACAGACCTCTAACAACCCACACCATCGCTCATGACCTCAGCATCAATCCCGAGTCACACACACACACACACACCATCACAAAACACGCTGACAGGGCTGAGATAGAATCTGTGCCTCTCTGATAGCATCGGATTTCATTGGGATAGAGGATAGAGGGTGTGTACCATAGTAGCAGTTGAAGCTCGCATCTGCTATAAGACCATGGTGCTTGCCTACGGAGCTGTGAGGGGAACGGCACCTCCGTACCTTCAGGCTCTGATCAGTCCCTACACCCAAACGAGGGCATTGCGTTCATCCACCTCTGGCCTGCTGGCCCCCCTACCTCTGCGGAAGCACAGTTCCCGCTCAGCCCAGTCAAAACTGTTCGCTGCTCTGGCACCCCAATGGTGGAACAAGCTCCCTCACGACGCCAGGACAGCGGAGTCACTCACCACCTTCCGGAGACACTTGAAACCCCACCTCTTTAAGGAATACCTGGGATAGGATAAAGTAATCCTTCTACCCCGCCTTACCCCCCCCCCCAAAAAAAAAAAAAATTAATAATAATATTGTAAAGTGGTTGTCCCACTGGCTATCATAAGGTGAACGCACCAATTTGTAAGTCGCTCTGGATAAGAGCGTCTGCTAAATGACGAAAATGTAAATGTAAAAATGTAGCAGAGTCCAGCACATAGTCATGATGTCTGTTTTGGCAGTCAGTCTGCTCTGTTCTGACAGAACTGTGAGTCAGGGGACATACCTGCTGCTGCTGTGGGTGAGATGTAGATGTGACCTTCCCATCATGCACTAGGACAGGGATTAACATGGTTAGTGGCAGGTAGGCAGCGCCAACACCAGCACCACCCAACCCCCGGGCGCTGAACACCCGCTTCCCTGCCTGTAATTCAGACCTGCTAGGTTGGGACTGAGGTGTGGGGTGGGGAGGTATAATCTCAACCACTGCAGCTGGCTGGAAGTTGTAAGTGTTCAACACACACACACACACACACACAGGTCCAACACATTATAAACCTGGAAAATCTGGACAGCTAGATTGGTAGTGGGAGAAAGGAGAGTGTTGTGACGGTTAACAAAGGAGCTTCAGCAGGTGAGATCTATACTAGCCATGTCATTCAGGCATGCATGCACACATTTATCAACATAATATCGTCTGGGTTAAGCACATGTCAGCTAGAACAGGCCTGCTTGACTTGACAGAATCCCTTCTGTTTTAAACAAAACATGCCATACATATTTGCCCATGGAAGAAGTGGTCAGAAAGTGACTTTTTGGACCTGAATGCCAAAGCATTTAGGAAATAGAGGTCTTAAAAGTTGAGCCATTTTGCATTACCCACCCTACCATGAGACCTCTATGTCTTCATCACTGGTTGAGTTTGATATCATTTAAAGGCTTACAAAAGAGGGTTGTCAAACTATTCTATAATTTCTTAACAGAAGATATAAATGTTTGATCCTTTAACGTCAATTATCTAAAAACGCGTAAACTCCACATACAGTTGAAGTCGGAAGTTTACATACACATTTTATTATATTATATTTCTATGATTGAAATTACACCCACCCTGTATTTACGAGTATGCTGTGTCTCAACCGATGGTGGGAACAACACAAACACCTCAGATTATGTCAAATAGGGTCTAAGCTACAACATATGCGAAATAGTGAAGCATTAAACAAAGTTATCCTTTTTAGATAAAACTATACTAAATATAATCAAATCACCAAATAATTGATTAAAACACACTGTTTTGCACCGAAGGTGTACGGTAGCCTCAACAGCACACTGTAGGGTAGCACCATGGTGTAGCCGGAGGACAGCTAGCTTCCGTCCTCCTCTGGGTAAATTGACTTCAATACAAAACCTAGGAGGCTCATGGTTCTCACTGCTTACCATAGACTTATACAGTAATTATGACAACTTCCGGAGGATGTCCTCCAGCCTATCAGAGCTCTTGCAGCATGAACTGACATGTTGTCCACCCAATCAAAGGATCAGAGAATGAATCTAGTACAGAAAGCATAAGCTACAGCTAGCTAGCACTGCAGTGTGTAAATGTGGTGAGTAGTTGACTCAAAGAGAGAGAAAGACAATAGTTGAACAAATTAATTTCTTCCAAAATGAAGAAGCAAGAGAGAAAGAGTCTTAACTTTCACTTACTTAGCTAGCAAATGCAGCTAGCTAGTTTAGCCTACTGAAACGCATTAGTTCTATTAGCTATGCTGACTATGACCTTACTTTAGCTAATATGGTGACAACGATGTAGGGTCGTGTAGCGGTTTGGCTTGGATATTTATTTATTTTTCGCCTGGTCACATGCAGCTGATGTGTTGTGCATTGAAGTCCACAAGTGAAGGGAAGAGGTGAGAGGAGGAGAGTGCATAGATGCAAGAAGGAATACAACGTGGCTGCTATGAAAGTGAACTGTGTTTATGCGTGATCAGGGGTGTATTCATTCCAACGATTCTGTTGAAAAACTTTTCTTAAAACGGAAGCAAACGGAACAAAAAGGGGATAAACATAGCTGAATTTGTCCAATAGAAACTCTTGTTTGCAACTTTTAGACTAACGATTACACCCTATATCAGCTAGATGCAGGCAAGAGTGTACAAGGCGGTATTGAATGTCACTGTCCATGTGTCACCTCAAATTTGTCTCTCGACCTGTGTGCACCTACGTTATAAACTTTCCTTCATAGGCTAGGTTGTAGCAACCTCATGATGGGTATAGGAAATTCTAGTATCATGTAGTAGCCTAAACCTATTGCTGTTACATTGAACTGGGTGAATGGAATATGAATGAGAGTCATCCAACATGCTTTAATAGAAATAAGGCCATGTTCATTAAAAAAGATCGTCCTCCCTTATCTTAAAACGGCACTGACCACCACTGGTTAAAAGGCACAAAAAAAAACATTTTTGACAACACTGTTTTAAGCTTTTAAATTAGGTCAAACTCAACCATTTATCTTTTGCCCGTGATGAAGACATGGATGTCTCATGGTAGGGTATGCAAAATGGGTCAACTTTGAGCACCTCTATCTCCTAAATGTTTTAGCATTCAGGTCCAAATAAATCCCTTTCTGACCACTTCTTCCATGGAAAGTTTCATTCAAATCAAAATGGGGTGCAGTCAAAAAGTGATTGAAATCAGATGGAACAACCCAATACAGAACATAATGCTTCAACATTAGAAGCGAGAAAACACAGTTGATCTGTAGTACCGGTAATCTGTTTAGAAGGAGTCGAGAAGATCTTGTCCAGAGATTGTGTGGTGATGGGAATCATTGGACGATTGCATTACGAATTTGATCGATTGACCTTAGAATAGCTAACTAGCTACGCTGATCTGATTTTCCCTTATCAGATCATGTACATTCAGATAAACACAGAACACATTGTTTCTGTTATCGGGTCAGTCTGGTTGAATCGATATAGATTAGAAACACTGTCAGGGTTCTAATGGCGAACCTCATTAACGATGAAGATCAGAACACATTCCAACAGGTCTCTAATCCACACCCGTCCTGAGTGTGTCAGACATGCCTTGGGCTGGGGGAGTTAGGGATTTTTAGGGATGATTATAAATTCAGACTGCAGTGAAAACAGTTGTTAGTTTGCCTTCAGTGTAAAAGCAAGAGTGGTTTCCTCGGTAGATCAAGTCAGTTCAGACCCATTTAAACCTTTTCCACTAACCCTGTAGAGGCTGACCTGGGGTGAGAGTGTGTGTTTAGGGCGGCATGTGGGTTTGTTTTCGCTAGCGCTGCATGTCCACGGTTAACCTATGGGGTTTCTCAACAGTTTTGACTGATTTACATCCAAATCTAATTTCCACAGCAGTTATTGCACAACACTGACCAAGACAAAATCCCCTACCACTAGTTAAAAAGAAGAAAAAAAAGTTGCCTCGTGACAGCCAAAGTGAAATAATTGCATAAATCGATATCGCAATGCATGGCACTACCTATCTTGAACGGTATTAACCTTACTCCCTGCTAGCTAGTCAGCCTTCCCTGTTCCCTTAGCCTCTGTCTGTGTCCCTGAAAATGCCACTCGTGAATGCCGAGGTTAAACAACTGCACAATAGATATCGCAATGCATGGCACTCTACCGATCTTGCATTTGTGGCCTACCGTTCCCTCGCCTACCGTTCCCTGACACAACATAGTACACAGAGAGGTCATCCCTGGAGTCTGTCAGTAATAGAGCTGTTCATTTGTTTAGCTTCCAGAGATATTAGTCAACTGTGTCAGCAGCTCTATTCTACACATTACCTGTCCTGCTGAACTGTATTAACCATACTCCCTGCTAGCCTAAAGTAACTTCCCTCTCCCTGCTAGCTAGTCAGCGTGGTTCCTTGTTCCCTTAGCCTCTGTCTGTGTCTCAGCAAGGGAATGGGAGTGGTAGTAGGGAGACCAACAGCTCAACTGACTCATTACAAATAACTGGAGGGGGGAGGTTCCCTTCCTCCAAGGCTGCGTCAGGCTGGCTGGTGGGACTGGTAGCCAAATGTCTGTCAGTCTAACCTTTGGTTCCGTGTGGTGCAGAGCGGAGGAGTTCATTGAACTCCAGTGACTCGCTCCCTATGCTAGCTGGAGGCAGGCCAAGATAACACACCCCAGCTTGAACTGTAAACACAAGTATCAGCCCTGCTACCTGCCTACAGCCTGTGGTATTTCGCTCCACAGCTGAGCGCTAAGCAAACAGACAACACCCCTCCCCCTCCCACACACCCTTCTCTGGCTACACCTCCATTTCTCTCCATTCCCCTCCACCTCCTCTCCCTCCCCTGCTCCCATTCTCTCCCTCTTCTCCTATATTCCACCCCCCCAACTTTCCTTCCCTCTCACCTCCTCAATGTCCCGAGCCAGAACACACACCTATAGGCTGACAGAACACAGGAAAAAGGGAGGGACAGCCAGGGGAAGTACCAGCGCTTTAGAAAGAGCTTTCATATCCAAACCAGTACAGAGGAGGAAGATAAGTATTTGGGGTCAAAGTACTGTGCTAAAGGTAATTGTAAAGGGCTTTGTTTTCTCTGATTGCTGTGCGTGTGTGGACATGTTAAACTATACTTGTGGGGAACAGAAGTCTTCACAAGAATAGTAAACCAACACAAATTTGAGTGGTCCCCACAAGAAAAAGGGCTATTATTAGGCTAAGGGGTTAGGTTTAGAATTAGGGATACGTTTAGGGGTTAAGGTCTTGAAAAATGAGAGTTTTAAATGGGAACCAATTGTGTCTCCCCACAAGGTTTGGAAAACCACTGTGTGTGTGTGTGAGACTGTACAGTCGTGGTCAAAAGTTGAGAATGACACAAATATGAATTTTCACAAAGTCTGCTGCCTCAGTTTTTATGATGGCAATTTGCATTTGCTCTAGAATGTTATGAAGAGTGATCAGATTAATTGCAATTAATTGCAAAGTCCCTCTTTGCCATGAAAATGAACTTAATCCCCAAAAAACATTTCCACTGCATTTCAGCCCTGCCACAAAAGGACCAGCTGACATCATGTCAGTGATTCCCTCGTTAACACAGGTGAGAGTGTTGACGAGGACAAGGCTGGAGATCACTCTGTCATGCTGATTGAGTTAGAATAACAGACTGGAAGCTTTAAAAAGGAGGGTGGTGCTTGAAATCATTGTTCTTCCTCTGTTAACCATGGCTACCTGCAAGGAAACACGTGCCGTCATCATTGCTTTGCACAAAAAGGGCTTCACAGGCAAGGATATTGCTGCTAGTAAGATTGCACCTAAATCAACCATTTATCGGATCATCAAGAA